ACCAGGGTGGGTGGGTGGGAGGGAAGGGGAAGCTGGGAGGCCTGCAGCCGCTCTGGTGGCCCCTGCTGGCCTGGGGGTCTGTCTCCCTCCTATGGTTGCCAACTTCCAGGTGGGGGCTGGAGGTCTCCCGGAGTGACCACCGAGCTCCAAGCTACAGAGATCAGTCTTCCTGGAAGAAAATAGCTGTTTGGGAAGGAGGAGTTTATAATGTTCACAGACACACACACAGAGACAAATATATAAAACAGACCCCCACCCCGGGCTTCACCAGAGCCAGTTTGGTGTGAGAGCCAGTTTGGTGTCGTGGTGAAGTGCGCGGACTCTAATCTGGGAGAGCTGGGTGTGATTCCCCCACTCCTCTTCAACATGCAGCTGCTGGTGTGACCTTGGGTCAGTCACAAGCTCTGGCACAGCTGTTCTTTTGAACGAGCAGTTTCTGTCAGAGCTCTCTCAGCCCCACCCACCTCACAGGGTGTCTGTTGTGGGGGAGGGGAAGGGAAAGGAGTTTGTAAGCTGCTCGGAGACTCCAAGTGAAGGGCGCGGTATAAATCCAGTCTCCTCCTCCTCCTGCTTGGGAGAGCCAGTTTGGCGTAGTGGTGAAGTGGGCGGACTCTAATCTGGGAGAACCGGGTGTGATTCCCCGCTCCTCCTCCACTTGCACCTGGCTGGATGGCCTTGGGCAAGCCATAGTTCTATCAGAGCTGTTCTCTCAAGGACAGTTCTCTCAGAGCTCTCTCAGCCTCACCTACCTCACAGGCAGTGTTCCCTCTAAGCTGAGTTAGTGTGAGCTAGCTCACAGTTTTTTAGCTTGCGGCTCACACATTTTTGTCTTAGCTCATTATTGTTTATAAAGGTAGCATGTAGGTCCTCTTTTCTACCTGGCTGCAAGCCTTCTTGTTAATAAGGTGAGCTAATGCTCTCCATCTGTCAAGTTGGAACTAAAGTATTAACACTGAATCCATGCAGCTACCTGTTGAGTGTCCACAACTGAATAGACTAAAATAGGCCCAGTCTAAATACATTTAAATATTTGTAATGACTCATATGTCCATATCCCCAATAGAAGCTGAGTACAAGGAAGGAAAAGTCCAACATCATCCCTTCCTTGTACTCAACCTCCAGGTAGTGGCTGGGGAACTCCTGCTATGACAACTGATCTCCCAGCGACAGAGCTCAGTTCAGCTGGAGAAAATGGCTGCTTTGAAGGGTGGACTCTATGGCATTTCAAAGCACTGAAGCCCCTCCCCTCCCCAAGCCCCGCCCTTCACAGGCTCCACCCCCAACCCCCGCCCAGGATTTCCCAACCTGGAGCTGGAAGCTGAGTTACTACACTGAGCCAGTGTGGGTTGGAAAATACCTGGAGACTTTGGGTGGTGGATCTAGGAAAGGGTGGGGTTTGGGGAGGGGAGGAGGGACCTCAGCACCAGTGTTCCCTCTAAGCTGCGTTCGTGTGAGCTAGCTCACAGGTTTTTAGCCTCCAGCTCACACATTTTTTTTTGTCTTCGCTCAGGAAGGATGGCTCCAGAGCAGTGTTCCCTCTAAGCTGTGGCGTCTTGTGAGCAAAAATCCTGCTTTGTGAGCTGCCGGCATTAAGGTTGTGAGCAGGTGATTTCGCTACTGCATCAATTAGTCTGCTCTGGAGCCGTCCTTCCTGAGCTAAGACAAGAATGTGTGAGCCGGAGGCTAAAAAGCTGTGAGCTAGCTCACACTAACTCAGCTTGGAGGGAACACTGCGTCCAGAGCAAACTAATTCATGTAGTAGCCAAATCACCTGCTCACAACTTTAATGCCAGTAGCTCACAGAGTAGAATTTTTTGCTCACAGGACTCCACAGCTTAGACGGAGCATTGCTCAGCATGGTACAGTACCATAGAGTCCCCCCCTTCAAAGCAGCCATTTTCTCCAGGGGAGCTGATCTCTGTCAGCTGGAGAGCAGTTGTAAAAGTAGGAGATCTCCAGAGAATTCCAAAGGAGCCCACGGGCTCAAAAGAGGTTTGGGGCCCTCTGGACTAGGAACTGGGCGACCCAGATTCAAATCCCAACTCGTGCCACGGAAGCTTGCTGGGTGATATAGGAACTGGGCGACCCAGATTCAAATCCCGACTTGCTGGGTGATCTTGGGCCAGGCACATACTCTTGGCCTAAGCTACCTTACAGGGTTGTTGTGAGGATAAAATGGAGGAAGACTGACGTAAGCCACTTGGGGAGAAAGTTGAAGGAAAATGTGGATGAGCAAGAACAGCAATGCCGGGAGTTCCGTGTCAAGGGAATCTAAAGCTTCAGACTCCAGAGGCAATGGGTGAAGCCTGTGTGAAGGTGGGCCAGAGGAGGGAGGAGCCTCAGGCAGGGCGTGGCCAGCAGCCCCTTTCTGGAGAGCCAGTTTGGTGTAGTGGTTAAGTGTGTGGATTCTTATCTGGAGAACCGGGTTTGATTCCACACTCCTCCACTTGCAGCTGCTGGGTGACCTCGGGTCAGTCACAAGTTCTTTCAGAGCTGTTCTCTCAAGGGAAGTTCTCAAAAGAGCTCTCTCAACACTCACAGGGTGTCTGTCGTTGGGAGAGGAAGGAGGGAGATTGTAGGCCTCTCTGAGACTCCGACTGAAGGGCAGGGTATAAATCTAACTCTCCTCCTCCTCCTCCTTCTTCCGGGGGCGGGGGGTCCATCACTCGCTTCCATGTCTTCCTTTTTGTTTCCCATCCAGTTCTGGCAGCTGAACTGATAAAGTCTTACTTCCCCAAAATGGTGGAAATGCACAATTACGTCCCGGCCAACTCTACCCAGCAGAAACTGTCCAACTGGGGACATCTGAACAGGTCAGTACCCGTCAGGGGAATTCTGAATCGGAGCACTTTCGTGGCTGTAAATGTTCAAGAGTGGCAGCATGGCGTAGTGGTTAAAGTGTTGGACGAGGATCTGGGTAAACCCAGGGTTCAAATCTCCACTCGTGCTGTGGAAGCTCGCTGGGTGACCTGGGGCCAGTCACATTCTCTCAGCCTGACCGACCCTGCAGGGTTATTGTGATGATAAAACGGAGGTGAGAGGAACGATATAAACCGCTTTGGGTCCCTATTGGGGAGAAAAGCGAGATATAAATAAAGTCAGTAAGTAAATAAATAAGTGGAACCTTCAGGATAAGATTCGCTGGCCAGATTGTCCCTGCCGGTTGGGGGGTGGGTTGTTCTGCCTGATATTGGATCCAATGTTACCTCTAAGCTGTGGAGTCTTGTGAGCAAAAATTCTACTTTGTGAGCGACTGGCTTTAAAGCTGCCAGCGAGCCATTTCGCTACTGCATAAATCAGTTTGCTCCGGAGCCCTCCTTCCTGAGCTGAGACAAAAATGCATGAGCCGGAGGCTAAAAAAACTGTGAGCTAGCTCACACTAACTCACCTTAGAGGCAACACTGATTGGATCCCCAAACTCGTGTCTGAATGTTGGTCCTGAAGCCCGTGTATACCCCTGTGGGCTACTCTCTGATCTGTGGGTCACACCGCTTTCTGCTGCAACTGAATTCTGGAGTGCCGTCGGGATCACTTCAACCCTGCAGGGAGATCTGTTCCCATTTTCTCACAGCGCTCAGAGCCCTGGGCAAGTTGGAACTCCACCGGCCCGAGATACGCCCACAGCGACACACCCCGCATGCAGAGTAGGGTGGACAGGTCCCGCCCGGGCCACCGGCGGGGAATGGGGGTGTAGGGTTGCCAGATCTAGGTTGGGAAACTGCCGGAGATTTGGGGATGGATCCTGGGTAGGGGGGAAGAAAAAGAAGAAGAAGAGATTGCATTTATACCCCGCCCTTCACTACCCAAAGGAGTCTCAGAGCGGCTTACAAGCTCCTTTCCCTTCCCCTCCCCACAACAGACACCCTGCGAGGTAGGCGGGGCTGAGAGAGCTCTGGCAGAAACGGCTCTTTTTCAAGGACAGCTTTTATCAGAACTATGGCTTGCCCAAGGTCACACCAGCAGCTGCGAGTGGAGGAGTGGGGAATCAAACCCGGTTCTCCCAGATTAGAGTCCACGGACTTAACCACTACACCAAACTCAGTGTAGTGGGGCACAGTAGCACAGAGTCTACATTCCAGAGTATTTTCTCCAGGGGAACTGACCCTCTGCAGTCTGGAGATGAGCTGCAATTCCGGAGGATCTCCAGGGCCCACCTGGAGGCTGGCATCCCTAATGCAGACAGAGTTGCCATCTGTGGGCTGAGAAATTCCTGGAGATTTGATGGTGGACCCTGGGGAAGGTGGGGGTTTGGGGAAGAAAGGAGGGAGAGAGATTGGATTTTTACCCTGCCCTTCACTCCCGGAAGGTGTCTCAGAGCGGTTTACAAACTCCTTTCCCTTCCCCAACAGACACCCTGGGAGGTCGGTGGGGCTGAGGGAGCTCCTTCGAGGACTGCCCTTGAGAGAACAGCTCTGAGAGAACTTGTGACCGACCCAAGGTCATGCCAGCAGCTGCACGTGGAGGAGTGTGGGGAATCAAACCTGGTTCTTCCAGATTACAGTCCGCACTCCTAATTTTTCTATACAATTATATAAATATTGGTGTCAAGTGTTTCCAAACATAGGTTCACCAAAATAATATATCAATGTGCAGGTTTACACTCTGTTCAGACATTCAAAGAGCGCCTTGTCAGTTTCACAATCCCTAGTCCCTCCAGACTAGTTTTCGAGGACAGTGATATACATACAAGACGTAAGGCACAATACTCTTCAAATAGCAGCATTTCTCTACGGTCTGTTTTCTGTGTGCAGCAGGGGCTGCGTGGCAGTGCAGACAACCCAATTTGCCTTGAGGATGGGATCGAGGCTTCCTTTAAGCTGTGGGGTCTCGTGGGCAAAAATTCTACTTTGTGAGCTATTGGGCATTAAAGTTGTAAGCAAGCGATTTGGCTGCTGCATGAATCAGTTTGCTCTGGAGCAGTGTTCCCTCTAAGCTGAGTTAGTCTGAGCTAGCTCACAGTTTTTTAGCCTCTCCGGCTCACACATTTTTGTGTTCACTCAGGGTGGGTGACTCCAGAACACACTAATTCATGCAGTAGCCAAATCGCTCGCTCGCAACTTTAATGCAAGTAGCTCACAAAGTGGAATTTTTGCTCAACAAAGTGGAATTTTTGCTCAGAAGACTCCACAGCTTAGAGGGAACACTGCTCTGGAGCAATGTTCCCTCTAAGCTGTGCAATCTTGTGAGCAGAAATTCTACTTTGTGAGCCACTGGCATTAAAGTTGTGAGTGAGCCATTTGGCTACTGCATAAATGAGTTTGCTCTGGAGCCCTCCTTCCTGAGCGAAGACAGAAATGTGTGAGCCGGAGAGGCTAAAAAACCCATGAGCTAACTCAACTTACAGGGAACTCTGCAAGTCTGGAGCCCTCCTTCTGAAAGATTGAAGGTCAAAGAAGACGGGGATGGCAAAGGATGAGATGGTTGGACAGTGTCATCGATGCAACGAACATGAAACTGAGCAAACTTCAGAGGACAGCGGAAGACAGGAGGGCCTGGCGGGATCTAGTCCATGGGGTCGCGAAGAGTCGGACTCGACTGTGCGACTGAACAACAACAACAACAACAACAACATTCATTGTATAACGGTGGTCAGAGAGTCGCCATTTTGTATCGCAGTTTTTATATTAAAATTAAATTTAAAAAAAAGTCTGCTCTAGAGCCATCCTTCCCGAGCTAAGACAAAAATGTGTGAACCGGAGGCTAGAAAGCTGTGAGCCAGCTCACACTAACTCAGCTTAGAGGGAACTCTGCTCTGGAGCCCTCCTTCCTGAGCGAAGACCAGAATGTGTCAGCCGGAGGCTAGAAAGCTGTGAGCCGGCTCACACTAACTCAGCTTAGAGGGAACACGGGATGGGAGCTGTATTCCTTGACATTCCTCCTGTTGCAGGAAAGTCCTGAACAAGCTGAACTTCTCCATCCCGGAAGACGTGATCCGGAAGATCGCTCAGTGCTCTCCCGGAGTGGTGGAGCTGGTCCTGATCCCGCTGCGGCAGAAGATCGAGGAGAAGCAGAAGCAGGCCAAGGTGTCGTCCAGTTCTTACCAGGTAGGGTCGCCAGCTCTGGGTTGGGAAATACCTGGAGGTTTTGGGGGTGGAGCCTGGGGAGGGCGGGGTTGGGGAGGGGCTGCAGCGGGGTCTAATGTCGTAGAGGCCACCTCCCAAAGTGGCCATTTTCTCCAGGCGAGCCAATCTCTGTTGCCTGGAGATCAGTTGGAATTCCAGGAGCTCTCCAGCCACCACCTGCAATTGGTGCGACTGCAATTAACAAGTCTAACATCAATGCCTTTAAATGAATATTTTGAAATACCAAATGAGTTTATATTCTCAATAGACATTCAGTCAGGGGTCATTTCCTGCAGGAGTGCACAGGAGCAGAGCTCCAGCAGTAAAGAGCCCAGGGGGCGGGCACATGTAACAAGCCCCATCCCTGCTCCCAGCAGCCCTCAGTCAGAGCAAGAAGCAGCCAGGTAAGTTGCAGAGGCCCCCCCCCCC